TCCCCCATATTGCCCTGAGGGGAGTAGTTCTGACGCGCTCCTTTCCTTTGCGACGGGAGGAAACAATGCCCAGACTACAGTAGGCCGGTCCACACGCGAGAGGTGAAAAACTCTCCACCTCCGCACACCGTGCCCAACGCTATCCACAAACAAGAATCTTCCTTCCCTGTGCCCGTGGAGGGATCAATCTACCTATTGGACGAGACACATCGTCCTCCTCCCCCCCCCGCCCCCTGTTGAAATTAGAAAGAGGGTGAAGGAGTTGGTCGTGAAGAAGAAGAAAGGGTTGTGGGAGGAAGTAGTCCAAAAGACTAACGAAGATTTTGAGGGGGGGATGAAGCAAATGTGGGTAGGAATTCAAGGGATAGTGGGCAACAAAAGAGGGGGAGACACGGAAATAACGACACTAAGATCTGCCGAGGGTAAGATGGTAAGCAGTTCTAAAGGAAAGAGGGAAGTACTAGTAGAGCACTACCGCAAACTTGGGACACCCACCACCAACGACAACTTCGACTCGGAGTTTGAGAAGGAAATCAACTCGTGGGCAGAGGAAAACGTTGAAATATCTCAGAGGGAACGTAGTGATGTAGACGGGTTGCAGGGAGAGTTCACACGAGAAGAGGTAGAGGACTGCGTAGCGAAACTCAAGAATAGAAAAGCGGCAAGGGGCTGATGGAATTGTGAACGAGCTTTTTGAAACAGGGGGGGGAGGGGATGATTAACATGTTGGTCCGGATATTCAACTGGATATGGAAACACGAGTACGCGCCGAAGAGATGGAGAGAAGGAGTAGTCGTGAACCTGTTCAAAAAGGGGGATAAAGCTGACCCGGGGAATTATAGAGGGATAACCCTGTTGAGCACAGTGGGGAAACTGTTTGGCAAGATGATAGACAATAGAATGGGAGACATGTTGGAGGGGAAACAAAAGATCAGCGAAGGACAAGCTGGATTTAGACCAGATCGTAGTTGTGTAGACCATGTATATACGTTGAGTAAAATCATCCAAGGTAGGAAAGACGCCGGGCGTACGACATACTGTTTCTTCCTCGATATACAAAAAGCCTACGACACCGTATGGCGCAATGGATTGTGGAAAAAGATGTGGGACATCGGCATCCGGGGGGAAATGTGGAGGATGTTGAAAAAGATGACAGAATGCACAAGAAGTGCGGTGATGTTGGATGGGGAAATTTCAAAGTACGTGGATATACTCCAAGGAGTCGCACAGGGCTGTACGATGTCACCCACTCTTTTAAGATTTACATCAACGATTTGATAAGGGCGGTTGAAGCAGTAAGACAGGGAGTCCAAGTAGAGGGAAAGAGTGTGTCCGGACTGATGTTTGCAGATGATTTCGTGGGGGTATCCGAAACACCAGAGGGTTGCAAGAACAAATAGATGCGGCGGTAGGATACACCCGAAAATGGAGACTGTCGGCGAACGTAGGAAAATGCGCAGTAGTGGTCTGTAACGAAGACAAGAAAAATCCCGTAGAATTCAAATGGAAATGGGGGGAGGAAGAACTACCGGTAGTAGACAAGTATACGTACCTGGGAGTAGAGATTTCGAAGGAGTGCTCATGGGACGCACACATAGCGAAGTTGATTGGGAAGGGTAAAGCTCAGATAGGCAAGATGGACGAGATCCTTACGGACCCACACCTAGACACTAGGATTAAGAGGTGTATTCTCTTGAATGTGATTGTACCAAAGCTAGAGTATGCAGGAGAGGTATGGGAAGGTAACGAAAAGGCCGTCAAGCAGCTGGAAACGGTGCAGATGGCAGCGGCCAAGAAAATACTAGGATGTTCAAGTACAACGAGCAACACTGTATTGAGAGCAGAATTGGGAATGTACTCTCTTAAAACA